GTTTCGACGTTGTACATTTGCTGTCATGTTAAACTTATATTAAAGTTTTTCTTCATTACCCATTTAAGCCGTCTCCAGCCATTAATAGTTTGAATATATTATGAAAGGAATAGTTGAATAATGTAGTAAGATATAGTTTGAATATATTATGAAAGGAATATTTGAATGATGTAATAAGATATAGTTTGAATATATTGTGAAAGGAATATTTGAATGATGTAGTAAGATATAGTTTGAATATATTGTGAAAGGAATATTTGAATGATGTAGTAGGATATAGTTTGAATATATACCACATCAACAGAATTAAGGAAAGAAGTAATAAAAATATTCAAAGTTATTTTTATTCTATGCACCAGTCATGATCAAAGTTTGTTATTAGACATAACATTTCGGATGGCTGTTTCATATTGTCATTCTGTCTTGTAAAGCAAGTTGATTACGCAGTATAAAAAGATGTCTGACCTTAATTATAATCTTTCGGTTACTTTACTTTGGTTCGAGCCCCACCGGTAAGCTGTATTGCTATGAAAAACGTTGGTTATAACTAACAAATTATTGTTCCTGTTAAACTTCAACCTCCCATACATAAAGTAAAGTACAACAAAGAAAACATACAGACATCTAACTCTTGACAAAGTTAAATAATTGAAAATATAAATAATTATGAAAACCACATTTTGTCAGGTTTCACCTAAATAAAGTTTTTAAATTGAAACTCTGAAATCTTTCTATGTATGTTTTCTCAATTAACGTTCTCTAGAACGTTTTCTTTCTGCGATTTTATTTATTTAGTACGAGTCAATTTTCTCGTTATTATGAAATACAACCGAAAAACGTCTTCAACAGTTCCAATCTATATTTTATTGTTGAATTGATGGTTTCTGTCTTTCATTGTGGATTCACAGAGTTAGTAGTCTCGTGTCCAAGCCAACCAAACTTAGGTTCTGAAATGTACGTAAGCCTAGCTATTCTTTGAAAATATTTTAAGGTCTCCTTCTAAAAACGCTACGTGTATTGAAGACATCTTAAAACTATACATATATTGTAAAATTACTCAATCAGCCAAATATATTTCTGGTTTGTCAGATAAATGCATATAAATATATTGAAACACATATCCCTCTGGTGACAATTTTTAAACTGAGCGTTAATGTACATCTTCCTTCAAGAGTATATGTATGAAATTAGGAAACACCCGAACTCAAAGAATCAAAAATGATCCTAATAATGTACATAGAACTCTTAGGGTAAAACGTGATTCTCCTAATGTGAATGTGACTATACAATGTTTGAATAATTATCTACAGAAAGATAGTGTTCTGTGAAAAGTCATGACATTTGATTTTTACATAATTCACAGAACAACAATGTATATTTTTTAAATAAGTAAACAATAATTTATTGGCCTTTTCAACTAAAATAGCCAAATGTATCACACTGTAGTTTCTCCAAATACTAGCTGTATTTTTAATTATTTGGTTTGGTAGTTATTAAGCATAAAGCTACTCAATGAACTCTCTGACTGTGCCTGCCACAGGTATCGAAACCCGGTTTTTAGCATTATTAGTCCGCAGACTTACCTCTGTGCCCGTGGGGGCATTTTACTTATTATGGGTTTTTGTAATTCACGATGTTGCTCAATTTATGAAATACAATTTTACGAAGATTTAATTTGAAATCACATCAAATAATTTATTAAACAACGCGTGACTTGTTCCTACAAACTTCCTACACTTTATATGAAAGTAACCACATTAAATAAGTAAGTCTTGTAATATCTATTATTATATAAAAATACTGCTTACAACGAAAGTTGAATAGAAAGATGGACGACTTATAACGCTACACGAAACCATCGTTTTCTTGTTTTCACTTGTCAAAGAGTCCCCTAGATCTGAGTTTCTTAGGTTTACATATATTAGCCACTGGAAAATATCTGGCAGCTATCAACTAAGTTCCAATTCTTATTTATTGATCATTCACTCTCTTCTCTACAAAAGATTTCATATGACTAATAACTTCAAGACTTAAATAACATAGCGTTTTGGGACACCATGAGACTTATTGGTCCATCTCGGCTGTTCTATCCTGAAAACTAAATTCAAATTATTTTTAAAAATATTCAAGCAAGCCCTGATTATTCATATACTTATAAAGATTTTTCTTAAAATCACTGAAATTTACTGCCTCCACAACATCCGAAGGAAAACCATTCCAAAGGCCAACCACCTTGTTAGAAAAACGAAACTGTCTTACCTGAAGATGACTCCAACCTTGCCAAAATTTATACTTGTATCCTCTACTCCTAATATTCTTACTGTTAAATACTAAAAAAGATGATGCATCAACACCATTTACAATTTTAAACACCTCAATCAGATCCCCCTAACTCTTTTTTTTTCCAAGAGAAAACAATTTGAGAGATTTCGGCCTCTCCTCGTATGACAACCCCTCCATCCCAGGAACCACACTAGTAACCCTTCTATAAATCCATTCCAACAATAAAAGAAGTAATATTTTTAATGGCTTCACATTAACGTAAGCTTGTTTCTACTTCTTTCACGTGGAAATGTTGACTTGCGTTTCTTCACATCTCATTAGTTTAATAAAATCCACAAATAACTGAAGAGATTTTAGTCAAAAAGTTTCTATCTTCCAGTTGCATCAGAAAGTTACGTAATATTTTTCATTTCGAACTTTGTTTTAGTTTTTAAAAAACTAATCTGAAAGAAAAAAAATTATTGATAATAAGTAAACCCATTGAGCCTCTCAGCTAAATTGAGTTCTTTTTCCAATATTTTGCGTGAGCCAGATCTCTTTATGTATCTACATTTCTTTGTTCTCACAAGATAAGCTTTAACTTCAAGATAAATAAAACATGCATCTAAATGTAACTTCCTTTTTATATAGTATCAGAAACTGTATAGCATAATTGTGATAACATTTATTGTTCATTTTATGATTGTGTATTGTATTGATCTGTATATTGTATTGATCTGTGTATTGTATTGATCTGTATATTGTATTGATCTGTGTATTCTATTGATCTGTATATTGTATTGATCTTTGTATTGTATTGATCTGTATATTGTATTGATCTTTGTATTGTATTGATCTGTGTATTGTATTGATCTGTGTATTGTATTGATCTGTATATTGTATTGATCTGTATATTGTATTGATCTTTGTATTGTATTGATCTGTATATTGTATTGATCTGTGTATTGTATTGATCTGTGTATTGTATTGATCTGTATATTGTATTGATCTGTGTATTGTATTGATCTGTATATTGTATTGATCTTTGTATTGTATTGATCTGTGTATTGTATTGATCTGTGTATTGTATTGATCTGTATATTGTATTGATCTGTGTATTGTATTGATGTGTGTATTTTAAAGAGAAGGAAAGGAATGTTTTAAACATTTCACGTGAGTTTGATTTTCAATGTACAACCTGAGGAATAGATAAGTTTTGTAAACTTCCACTACGACGTCCAGTCCAACCAGATTTCCAAAATCATATGAAATACACGAAAAAAAGAGTAAGTGCTGATTAAAGCTCACTAGATTTATACAGCCAAATGTATCTTTTTTTATAAGGTGGCAGAAATTGTATAGAATAGTTATGATGATTTTTATTCTTTAATTTAGTAACTGATTTGAATATTTTAACCAGAAGCAAAAATGTTTTAAACATGTCACACAAAGTGAGGAAAAAATCAGTTATGTAAACTTCTATCACGACACATGGTTTATCGATTCATAGCTCATCAACAACTGTTTTATGTTTATTACAGTGTTTGGTTTGACTATCGATCAAAACTCACTGGGTATGAATAGATTAACAAACCATTCTAGTGAGTAAAAATCAGTTGAATCCCTAGAACTGAGTTATGGTTGATTTTATTGATTGGACTTTACTGGTTGTTTGTGACTGACAACAACCATCAATATTCTGTACCTGTTTATGAAAATGTTACGGTTGAGAACTGTGATCAGGATCTATTGACTACTCAGGTGCTATGGTTGACAGTATTGAGTAATCTATAATTTCAGTGTTGTTACTTATGGATATAAATGAACCATAATTAATCTTCTCTGAACTCAGTTATAGCGGTGTTGATTTTGTGCAAGAAAGTGATTTGTATATCATATAAATCAAACGTTTTTAAAGAAAACTTGATAGACGACACTTAATGCTGATAACTTTATTTCGAATATGAACAGCTCCCTTTTGAATATTATACAAGCAATACAAACTTCAAATGATTATAATTTGTGTTATAACAAATCCAACAAAGGATCAGATATTGAGAAGACATAATGTGTATACAATTCGCATTTGGTGATTCGGTGTTATTGACGAAACAGGATAACTGGACATGAAACTGTCAGGAACTTTTGTTTTCCAAGTAGCACTTCAGGAATCGAACCTAGAAAATATGATAATTTATTCGATATTATAACTAAGTACGTAATATTTCTAAAAATAATGATAAACAAATCAGGTCATATTAAGATTATTCAGTGATAACAAATCTTTAGGATATAAGATATTCACAGACAGAACTGAAATAAATAAAAACCAAACAGATATATTAAAAATATATTGATTGTATTTATTCTATTAGCCAAACAAATAGTTGTCTTTATAACAGGAACTAAGTTGTTGTACTTACAATGTTACCATCGCTTGTAGTATATTTTATGACCGTAACCTCCACCATAACCACCAAGGCCTCCACCTCCACCATAACCACCAAGTCCTCCTCCTCCACCATAACCACCGAGTCCCCCAAATCCACCGTAGCCACCAAGTCCACTCAATCCACTATAACCACCAAGTCCTCCACCTCCACCATACCCACCAAGTCCACTGAATCCACCATAACCACCGACTCCTACTACACGAGCGCGAGCAACACTAATTGGAATAGCAAGAAGTGTTACTGCTCCACCACCTCCATATCCACCTCCGAGTCCTCCAACGTTTCCACCACCATATCCGCCGAGACCGATTCCTCCACCACCCCCAAAACCGCCGAAACCGATTCCTCCACCACCACCGCCTCCATATCCTCCAAAACCAATTCCTCCACCACCACCTCCTCCATATCCTCCAA